AAAGAGTGTGATGACACACTATGCAAAACATATTGTGTTTAAAGAGGAAAATTAGTATTGCCTAGCTTTTTTTTTTGGGTGGGGGGTGGTAAAATGACACAATTATAATTACACTTCAGCCTTCAAAATAACCAGGATCTTCCCACCCAGCAATAACTTGTGATCAAACGGAGTTAAGCACGCATTCTCCTCCTTAGAGACCCTGTTCTTAAAAATTGCTTTTAGCATGATTCACAGGCAAAGATTAAGTTGTAATGACAAAAGGGAGAGAACTATTTACGCTGTCATCATGGGAGGTTTAAGCTAATGAACTCTCTTTCCAATGAGACCATACCAAACCCCCAATCCTACGGAGGTGGTACCTTTTATCATCAATGCCATAAAGTTAAGAACGTGACAAGGACTGAACGCACGTAAACCAAAAAGCACGTCCCCTTGCACATTCAATTTGTGCTCTGCACGGAGCAAGGCTCTTGCCTCACCAAGTGCTTCAATCGTGCACTTAGTGAGTAGGAATCCATAAAACTCGTGTCTCAGCTTCACTCGAGACCAGAATAAAACCTGCTTTTTGTTACAGTTAACGCCGTTATTTCCTATAATACCGTCTTAAAAATAGTACTTCAATAGTTTATAATTATGCTAACTTGATTACAGCTCTAACAATCTCTCATCGTGCTTTCAGCCCGGAGTCACTGCCAGCTACAGCGAAGCAAGGGAAACCGGAGGAGACGAGAGCAGGCGACTGCTCTGAAGTCACACCCTCGGTGGGGAGGTGGGCAGGATGGAGGTAAGCAGCTGTTTGCTCAGCGAAACAGATCTGGCCTTGCCCGGACCTGTCTGGCTGTGGTGATGGGATCTGGCTCCCTCTTTTACCCTTTCCAGAACAGCGCTTGGGTCACCAGGCCCCCAGCACTGGCTCTGAGGGACTACAAGAGACGCAGCGTTAACTTCCCCTCCTCGCACTGCACAGCACAGCCGCTCTCCATCAGCAATCCGGCAAAAGGTTTTCTCAGCAGCTTCTACAGAACCGGCAAAGCTCCACACAGCGAAAAGAAAGTAAATCTGTGGCTTCGGGGTGCTTTCCCTTACTGGATTTTAAAGCCACCCCGAAAATGTGTCCAAGAGCTATGCCAAGTCACGAGGCGCCGTTCACCGGTGTCCCTGCGTGCTTCCCACTGGAACCACACCACATTCTCCCACTTCCCCCACTCGTAGGGTTGGCCTTTCCCAAGTCTCACAAGGCTTTGCCTTCACCACGAAAAGGGAAGCTCAAAGCCTTACCGAGGAGGAAGAATCCAGGGTTTCAACACCCGCAGGAAAGCCAAAATAAACCCCACGCGCTAAAACAGCACAGGGCTTGAAGGGGGGAGGCTTGCTAAGGCCGCGAACAGCCCGACCCGCAAATGTAACACCTCCCTCCGGTGCGAGCGCAAAAGCCG